CGCGGGAGCTATATGTGATTTCAGTTGTTTTCGGGTTTGACTCCGCGTTAAATAGTTTTGGTTTTGACGACGTTTCGGCAAGGTCACACTTGCCATTGTCAAGTCAGATTAGTTCTGCTTCGTCTTGATGTTTCAGGAGAACTGATTTCTCAGTCGCTGTACGTTGTAATTGGTCCTGTGCGCAGAGTGGGCGGGGTCTTCTTCGCTATTTTAATTTCTACTTTTCTCGGCAGAATTGGTTTCCACGTATTTGGGAGTCTTTGGGCATCATCTCTGGTATTTAAATTTTTCGGATGTTTTTCGATCTCTATGGCTTCTCTGATTACACGTTTTGGCCTTATTTTCGATGTTGGCTAGCATTGTTGTTCCATTTAAGTCTATCTTGTGTCCTGTGTGTATGGCATGCTGTGCTAGATATGACGTTTTTTCTTTTCTTTCGATGGCGTTTCGATGTTCTTCGCGAAAATCGAAATCCTTCGATTTGTTTGTCCGATGTACGATTTATCGCAGTCCTCACACGGGATTCTGTATACACCCTGATTTTCCAATGCAACTTTTGTTTTTGCCGATGGTAATATGGTTGCGATCTTTTTGTCGGTGTTTTCCTTGCCGAAACGTCGTCAAAACAATGGTTTTTCTAAAAAACCAAACCTATTTAACGCGGAGTCAAACCCGGAAAACGACTGAAATCATGTAAATATATATATATATATATATATATATTTATATATATTTATATATATATATTATATTATTATATATATAATATTTATATATATATATATATACGAAATTAAATCGAGATGTAAAAAGAGAAGTGGTGAAAAGTAAAAATGAGATGTGGGATCGAAGATGTGCAGAGGTGAATAGGTATATGGGTGGAACAAGAGTTGGGCAAGCGTGGAAGGTGATAAAGTCTCTCCGGAGGGAAGGAAAGGAAAAATCTAACTTAAATTTAATAGATCTGAAACAGTGGAAACAGCATTATGAGGTCTTATTGACAGAGGATAGAGTAAATTCTAAGATATCGAAATGGAAGAAATATCTGAACATACACAAATAATTGAGATAAAACCGGAGAGTTAAGCGATGCCCTCAAAAGATCGATAAACGGTAAAGCAGCAGACCTGGAGACATCCCAATTGAGTTGGTAAAGTATGGACCAAAAATATTACACGAGATGATGGTTAAACTATTTATTAAATGCTTAAAAGGACAAAATATCCCTGATGATTGGAATGTTGGATACATCAGCTCAATATACAAAAAAGGGGATAAACGCAATTGCTCTAATTATAGAGGAATAACTGTTACTAGCTCAGTTGGGAGGTTGTACGGTCGAATAATAAAAAAACGAATTGAATCAGAATATGAAGACATAGAGGAACAAAATGGATTTCGGGCAGGAAGATCGTGCATTGATAATATATTCGTTCTGCAGCAGGTAATCGAAAAAACGAAAGGCAAGGAATTTATCTACCCACCTATTGTTTGTAGATTTAGAGAAGGCATATGATACAGTACCTTTGAAAAAACTATTTTATACATTGACGAAAGTAGGTCTCAGTAGAGAGTATGTGGATGCTATCGCAAATATATACAAAAATACAAGAAGTGTCGTTAAAGAAGGAAGCTTTATATCTGAATCATTTCCAATAACCAAGGGGCTTAAACAAGGATGTTGTCTGTCTCCGACCCTGTTTAAAATATATATTCAATCATCGCTAAAGCAGTGGAGAAAACAAGTATCCGGAATGGGAATAGACATAGGCGGTGGTGAATGTCTAACAGCTTTATTTTTCGCAGATGATCAGGTAGTCGTAGCGAATGACGAGGAAGACATGGATTACATGTTTAGAAAACTAAAGAAAGAATATGAAAAATGGGGCCTCAATATGAATATGGCAAAGACAGAGTATCTTAAAATAGAAGATGGTGAAGAAGATCCAGAGTTAGAAATTAGAAACACAAAAACATGCAATGAATATAAATATCTCGGATCTATAATATCTAAAGAAGGCACTACCAAAAGAGATATCGAAAACAGAACACAGCAGGGAAAAAAGTGGTAAACATTCTAAACTCTACTTTGGTCTAAAGATATTAGACAAGAAACGAAATTGACAATCTATCGAACCTTGGTAGAGCCTATTATGACTTATGGGGCAGAGGTTTGGCAGATACCGCAGAAGGATAGAAAAAGAATAGAAGTAGTAGAAATGGATTTTCTAAGGAGAGCGTGTGGTATATCCAAAAAAAAAATATCAGGAATGAAGATATTAGAAGGAGGACAAATACTGTATATTCCAGTGTAGATAGAATTGAAACGAGACAACTAGTGTGGTATGGTCACGTGAAACGAATGAATAAAGATAGATGGCCAAAGAAAGCTTTAAATTACATACCACAACAAAGAAGAAGAAGGGAAAGGCCTTCAGTTGCCTGGGAAGAAAATGTACGGCACATAATGAGAGATAGAGCCATCAAGAAGACGAATGGATGGACAGAAAACGATGGCGGTCGAAATGCGAGAAACGGCAGAGGCTGTAGGAACCTCGCTTATATATATATATATATATATATATATATATATATATATATATATATGAAAAAAAATTATTTAGTTGTCGGGAAGAACCGCGTTAAGAATGTATTACTCGACGTTTTAACTCTCATTTTGGAGCCATTATCAAGAGTAATACGGTTCCGTTCGCGTTCGGGGTCTTAATCTGCCTACTTCCCTCACTCGAGACGCACCAGTATCGTGTGGCTGCTTTTATACACGCCGTATGGGCGGAAACGGTATGGGCTGATGTGGTCTGAGCTGACGTGGCCTGAGCGGTGTCGGCGGGAGGTCGCTGTTAGGCCGTTTTTCGATTTCGGTAGCTTTACGAATGATTCTTGATTTTAAAGAGCGGATGGGGGCGATGGTTTTTGCTTTTTTGAAATCTATTGTGTAGCCTGTTTGAATATGATGTTGGGTTAGGGCTGAAATAATATCGGAATGTTGGACTGATGTAGCATGTTCGTAAATACGGTTATGAATTCGTCTGTTTGTCTGTCCCATGTATGTACGTGAGCAACTGGAACAAGGTGTCTCGTAGACACCATGGTCTTCATTTGGGATTTGGTCTTTTACGGATTTAACGAGATTGGACAACTTGGAGTGAGTAGTGAAGATGGTTTTGATGTTTAGGGGAAGAAAAGTTGTACTGATCTGGTCAGTGACATCTTTATTAAAAGGTAAAAGGTTTTGGGTTGATCCGGCGGCAAGGTTTCTTTTTTGAATGAAATGTGGTTCAAATGTTTTTGAATGCTCCTACTGATTTGGGAATTGTGGTAGCCATTTTATAAGAGTGTTTACCTTATTGAATTGATTTCGGCCTAACAGCTTAAATACGCGCGATGACGCGAAATGATTGCCGGTAACATAACGACCCCTACTTTAGCGACCTTCCGCCCACACTGCTCAGGCCACGTCAGCTCAGATCACGTCAGTCCATACCGTTTCCGCGCATACAGCGAGTATAAAAACAGCCACAGAGGGTATGAACGGTTGTCACTCGAGACTGAGGTGTAGGCAGATTGAGACCTCAGTGCGGAGAGACAGTTCTTGTATTTATATAGAACACAATACTGGTACGTCTCTAGTGAGGGGAGTAGACAGATTAAGACCCCGAACTCGAACTTAACCGTATCACTCTTGATAATAGCTCCAAAATGAAAGCCGAAACGTCGAGTAATAAATTCTCAATGCGGTTCTGCCCGGGAACTAAGTAATTTTCATTCATCTGACCGCGGAAATTTTCACTAATATTTATTGATAGCTACCTATAGCTGTATGAAAATAAAAATTTTTGCATTTGAAAAACAATTTTTTTAAAATTTTCTCCAAATTTAACAGATTAACACATAAATAAGTAGTGTTACATATAACAAGGAATCGTTCGCATTAGAAACCATCGCCTTGGGGGAATAATGCTGGTGATGAGTTTCCGCAAGTATCTCCAAAGGATGCCGGTGATCAGTTTGCTATATCGCGGATGGTGTAATAATTTTATGGGAGCTATAAAGCAATGACTTTTTAAACGTCCAGAGGAAACTACAAATTTTCATTATATAATAATAATATAAATCATAGTTCATGGAAAGAATGTAAAAAAACGATGTAAAAAATACTTTGGCAGTTTTTTTAACGATAAATTTAGCAGAAAACCTGCTACTGTAGCAATAATGGTCACCTACATTATTTTTTCCAAGCAAATATTTGCAATCTGTTCTCTTTGGACAATAATCGAATTTGATAATAGCAACAAAAATTAGCATGAGCGAAGATTATCTGACAATACTGGTACCTTCCTAATTCAATTTAACTAGAATTAATAGTTAAAAAATGTTTCTAAAAGATTTAATTTTCAGTGACATCTGGTATGGGCAGTCCAAATATCAATCAATATTTTCCTCTTCTTCTGGTTGGAATTCTCATGGAAATGGAGTAAAGGTAGTTTCCAAAGAGTGTCATCTGCGTCTATTAATGGGAGTAATCTAAATTATAACTCCTTGACGATCTCTCGTCGGACAAATTTTCCCAGTCATCTGTTTAATTTCGCTTAGCGGTATTTGTCAATAAAAATAAACGATTGTATTATGTTTATTCTCGTTCGAAAATTTAAGACGAAATTTTCAAAATGCGTCTTTTCAAAGAATTAAGGACGCTATTCGAAATGTTTATGAAAAAATGCCTAAGGAATTTTTTCGTTTTTTATCCTCATTTTTTACCTAATTCCTGCCCCTTATGTAGCCTACACCACATGATTTTCTTATATTTTTATATTTTTCCTAGATAATGTTAATAGTTAATAGTTTTAGATAATGATAATAGATCTCTTCTATTTCACCTCATTTCTTGTCTGGTAATAATTTTATAGTTATACGAAATTCATGTAATCAATTATTAATCAAATCATGTAATCAAGTATTAATATTACACAAAAAATTACCTGTAATCGTAATATTCTGGATCATTATCAGGATCTAATGTTTTATGCATCCTAGACCAAGTAGTTCCTCTATTATTCCCCAACCAAACATCATATCCAGCATCTGCCAACATCAACGCGATTGATCTATTTGGTCCACAATTAACGAAATCCATAGCACTACTTAATAGACCATGCATGAGAAGAACAGCTGGTTTATTACTTTTGTCAGAGTAAACCCCATTTTTACCGCCTACTAATCGTTGCATTCGAAGAACATAACCGTCTTCAGTTTCTACCCAGTGGGTTTCCACTGGATATTTATATTTTCGCAGAAAGTGATACTAGAACAAAAAGTTAAACAAAATATAGTTAATTAAACGTTTAAACTAAAAACTTTACTTAGTAAAGACCCCAAATTGTTTTGGACAATTTATGTATTGGAGTATTTCTCTAAGACGATATCTACTTAGTTTAAATTATGCAGAAAGAATATCTTCCAATAAAAATCAAACATTATATTCTGAGATTATTAATGCACCCACATCCAATTTGTATAGAAACAAACAATATAAAGACAAACCCTTTAGGAAAAAAAAAAACAATTAGACTTCCCTCCGTGGCTTACCTCCTTAGCTATCGCCGATTTAACTTTAACACAGTACCTAAAAAATAACACAAATCCTAACCTTACCATTAATGCATTCAAAGAAATTATGGAGAAGTATGCAAATCACCACATAATAAGTATACACAGATGCATCAAAAACTAAAAATGGCCATGCTACAGCCTTCACAAATAAAAATTACAAATATGCCATTAGAATTCCACAGCACTGCAGCATTTACACCGGGAAAACCACAGCGATATTAGAAGCTATCTAAAACTACTCTTCAACGACTAATAATAATATTTTAATCATCACAGATTCACTCAGCGCAATTCATGGAATTAATCACCTTTTTCTTAGCCATCCTATTACACAAAATATAAGAAATGAACTTAATGCACTACACCATATAAATAAAAAGGTTACGTTTATCTGGATACCTTCACACTTTGGCATTAAAGCCAACGAGGAAGTTGATTAATTGGCATTAAAATTCATCAGAAATGAACATGTTCCAGAAATTACTAAATATCCCCACACCGAGCATTAACGACAGTCCATGAATCATATAATAAATTTATGGCAAGCAACCTGGGACGCAACAGACTCTAAATTGAAAACAATAAAGCCTCGAGTAGACACCAGCCTACCACAACAAGGAAAAAGATCAGATCAAGTAATCGTAAATCGTCTTCGAAGCGGCTACACAATACTAACACACCAACACCTTCTAAATAAAGAATCAGCTCCGATTTGTACCTACTGCTCTACTCAACTCACTTAGTTTCAAGCTCAGAGAACATCCGAGGAATTAGTGGAAACCTGAGAAGTGCGCTTAAGACAAATATCTCGCATTTATTGCAGTTTCTAAAAGACATAAACATTAATTTATAAAAATGTACTAGTGTGTATGTTCCCCCACTAATAACCCTTGGTGGTTGATGTGGGTTATCTATGTTTAAATAAAAAAAACACACACAAAGATGTACAACAATCAACTCAAAAAATTCACAGGCGAAAGAACATTTTAAAAAATTGAGAGAGAGAGAGAGAGAGAGAGAGAGAAAGAGAGAGAGAGAGAGAGAGAGAGAGAGAGAGAGAGAGAGAGAGTAAGGGGAGGAGCTCAAAAGAGGACTAGTAGATAGATAAAGAGACGACAGTCTCTCGGAAGACGTTTAGAATGTTTTAAAACTGGTTTCTTTATATATATAAATAATCTGAATAATAACTTACAATATCAAGTCCTACATCAGAATTTTGGTCAAATTTGGAATCGCTGACATTAAAGGATTCCCTGTATTTTCTAACAAAATTACCTATGGCATCCAAGCTTTGGCTTTTGCAATATACTTGTGCAACGCTAACTAATATTAATAATGTTTTAAGTATATACATTTTGATTGTTATTTTGTAAATGGTTGATCAATCATTACCTGTTTACAATGATATTTTTCAAAAAGATAAAATGTAACTCATTTAAATGTTATCTGCATGAAAGTACTTATAACTTACGACTATCGCGAAGATAAAAGATTGAATTAAATGATTTGAATGTAAAAAAATTATGTACACATGTGTTTTATTAGCTTATTATTTTTTAAAACTAATCAATTGTACAAAATAGGAAGATAGTTTCAGATGCTTCTACATGTCTTTGTTTTTTTGATTGATTGAATATTTTATTGATAAAATAACTATAGTATCAGTCACAAAAGTGCCATTATTTAGTTTCACAAATTCTTTAAAAATCCAACTCAGACTACTAAAGCCAGTACATTAACGATCAAAAAAGAAGTTTTGTAAATAAGTAAATTGAAGTTAAAAAAATATTACATAATTAGGTCATCATTGTGATAGTGTTGTATTTGGAGTAATATAGTAAAAATGGAGCTGAGATAATTCTAAACAAAAATGTTTATTACTACTTTTTGCATAGAATGAACCGTTCTCTCAGAAACAACACTTGAAGCGACCGTCGATTTTACATGTCAGTTACGCGCACGAAATCAATGTTCAATAAAATTTGTACCAGCTGGACGGTAAAAATTTGATGCCTATTGATCCAAATGTCCTATCGACAAAACTCAAGATGCGTTTTAAAGGCAAAGAATTCAGTTTTTATATGCAGCTTTGTTTTTTTTTTCGAGAATAAACTTAGTTTTTATAAACGTGTTAAAAAAATTAAATTTGCGCGATTTTTTCCATTTTATACGATTCTCGTAAGATCAATAAAATTGATCACTTTTATTGACCGGTTGTAGTAAAATTTCCGTTTTTAGAGATCAATATTAAAAACCTATGACATGAAATTTTAATTTTAAGTTGTGGTAACAAATATGAGGCCATGAAGGTGAAAGAAACGATCATGAAAAATGAGCAGCAGTGGTAGCAGTAGATACATTTTACGATCCCGGTAAAGTTAGGTCTACTTCAGGATTGCGACCCTGCCTATGCGAGCCGTGGCTCACTCTCAATCCCTTTAACCGAGAGGGTACCACGTCCCAACCTATCATCCTTGTCGATGACGCCAAATTCCCTAGCCCATCCTACAATCCTTCTACCAACCCGCACAGGCCAGCGTGGTAGAGAAACGGCCAGGAACCCGTAAAATGAGAAAGGAAGAAAATGCAAGGCCCTCAGTCTCCGGCAGTCCCTTGAAAACAGGCTATGGTAGCAGTCTTGTAGTTAGAGGGACAGAGGGTGCTAAGAATCACCGGAGTCAACCAGGCTACCTTCATAAACGACAACGGCAAAGAATATGGTTTATGGCAACATACAACACAAGAACATTGATGGAGAACGAAAAACTAGTTGAACTGGAAAACGAGCTGAATCATATAAAATGGGATATACTTGGATTGTCCGCAGTACGGCGAAAGGGTGAAGAACAAATGGTACTTCCGTCGGGAAACCTATTGCATTATCGAGGAGAGTCTTCCAATGGTGGCGTAGGATTTATGGTAAATAAAAAACACACAAAGAATATACTCACAATTAAAAGCATAAGTGATAGAGTTATATATCTTATCTACAAAGTAAACGAAAAAAATTCGGTTAAAGATCATCCAGGTATATGCACCTACTAGTACCCATACAGATGAAGAAGTAGAATGGTTCTACGATGACGTTAACACTGCCATACAAGAGACAAACACCAACTTTACTATACTGATGGGAGACCTAAACGCCAAAATAGGCCACAAGCAAGATGATTCGGAGTTTGTAATTGGACCTCACGGATATGGCGATAGAAACGAAAGGGGTCAAACTCTCATAGAATTTCTTCTGCAACACAGGCTATATGTCATGAATACGCACTTAAAAAAAGCGACCAAAGAAAGTGGACTTGGCAATCACCAAATGGTTTAAACAAGAACGAAATTGATTTTATATTTACTAACAAAAAAGACGCTGTTCAAGACGTAACTGTATTAAATCAATTTTCAACTGGAAGTGACCATAGAATGGTTAGGGCGAAGATAGTCTTAAATATACAGAAGGAAAGAAGACATATGTAACAAGACTAATAATGTTACATTCACTGCGATTACTAACACCAGCGCATACCAGGAAGAAATAGAGAGTAATCTACAGAAAGACCTGCAAGATGAAACCAGTATTGAACAGCTTAACGAAAAATTGGTAGAAGCCCTGAAGAAGTCACAGAAGAAGTGCCAAGCCAAGCAATCAACAAAAAATGAAAAACTCACAGAAGACACAAGAAACCTAATGCAAAAAAGAAGGGAAATGAAAGAAAAGCATACAACGAACATTGCAGAGCTAAGGAATTTAAACAAAACCATTTCAAAAGCCATTAGGAAAGACATAAGGAACTTTAACACTAAGGAAATAACTGATACCGTAGAACAAAACAAAAGCCTAAAAGTTCTAAAACGAAAGTTGAAAACAGGAACGAGGAATATTTATAAGTTAAAAAATAATCAAGGACATGTCATACATGAACAACAAGAGATACTAAAAATCATCGAAGAGTACTATAGAACATTATATAGTCGAGATGATCACATTCCCGAAGTAGAAATTCCAGCAATACTAAATCAAGGGTCAGAGGAACTTCCAGATATAACCGAAGAGGAAATTAAGTCAGCATTAAAAGGTATGAAGAACAACAAAACACCTGGAGAAGATGGCATTGTAAGTGAAATGATAAAACTAGGAGGCGAATGCGTCATAAAGGCTTTAAAAACCCTTTATAATGCCTGCCTCTTTGAAGGAAATACGCCAGAAAAATGGAATAATGCCATTATGATAATATTGCATAAAAAAGGAGATGTAACAGAAATTGGCAACTACAGACCTATCAACTTATTATCTCATTTATATAAACTCTTTATGAGAATAATTACTAACAGACTGGGACCTAAGCTAGATTTTCATCAACCTCTAGAGCAGGCCGGATTTAGGAGTGGCTTTGGAACAAATGACCACCTACAAGTAATAAAATCCTTGATAGAGAAAGTTATAGAATACAACAAGCCATTGATATTAATATTTGTAGACTTTGAGAAAGCATTTGACTCAGTCCAGCATAGCTCCATGTTAAGAGCTCTTACAGAGTGCAGTATTGACCATAGGTACACAACTCTTCTTCGAAATATATATGATAGCGCAACAGCTGCTGTAAAAATGTACTATGGTGACACAGACACATTTCCCTTGGAGAAAGGTATTAGGCAAGGAGACACTATCTCTCCTAAACTATTCACCGCCCTATTACAGAGTGCTATGAGAAAAAATAATTGGAAAATATTGGATTAAATATAAATGGGGAATTTTTGAACAACTTGAGGTTTGCAGACGACATAGTCCTTATTGCAGATCAGGTAGATCATGCATGCCAACTTCTTCAAGACCTTCAGAGCTCTTGTGCACGAGTTGGCCTTAAAATTAATTTTTCCAAAACACAATACATGACCAACCTGGTACTGGCAAAAAACATTTCCACTAATGGCACGCAAATTGAACAAGTGTATTCCTATAAGTATCTGGGCCACGAGATTAAATTGGAAGAGACAATCAAACAACAGAGTTAAAAAGGAGAATAGGATTGGCATGGGCAGCTTACGGAAAACTGAGGGAAGTCTTTAAATCAGCTATTCCCATGTGCTTGAAGAGAAAAGTATTTGATCAGTGTGTACTTCCAGTTCTGACATATGGAGCAGAAACATTGACACTTACCAGAAAAGTAATTAATAAGATACAAGTGGCACAGAGAGCGATGGAGAGGTCAATGTTGGGCGTATCACTCAGGGACAGAGTTTCGAGTCAGATAGTAAGGAGAAAAACTGGTGTGACGGACGCAGTTGAAAGAATTACAACCCTGAAATGGAACTGGGCAGGACATGTTGCTAGGGTCAGAGATGGAAGATGGACAAAGAAAATTTTAGAGTGGAGGCCTAGACACGATGCTTATCGTAGTCGAGGACGTCCTCCAACAAGGTGGTCGGACGATTTAAAGCGCATCCAGTCTAACTGGATTCAAGTTGCTCAAGATCGGATGCAATGGAATTATTTACGGGAGGCCTATGTTCAGCAGTGGACGCAAAATGGCTGATGATGATGATGACATGAAATTTTAATTTTAAGTTGTGGTAACAAATATGAGGCCATGAAGGTGAAAGAAACGATCATGAAAAATGAGCAGCAGTGCTTGACATTTGCTGACGATCTAACGATTCTAGCAAAAATCGAGAAAGAATTAAGAAAAGTTGTGAAGAATATTATCGAAGAAGCGCAGAAATTTGGATTGGAACTAAATGAAGACAAAACCAAATAATATGATCATGGGAGGGACAGAAGGGAAAAAAGAAGACTTTAGTGTGAGGTCAGTAATTGGTAAAAGCTATTGTTTTAAAAGGGTGGACAAATTTGAATACCTGGGTGTAGTTTCCGATGAAAATGGGAAAAAAGAGAAATGGGAGCTCGAAGCCAGAATAGCAAAAGGGAATAAAAAATTAGGTAGTTTAAGAGCCCTACTGAACTCAAAATAGGTTTCTAGACAAGGTAAACTCAGAATATATAAAACAGTTATTCGACCCACAGTAACATATGCCGGTGAGACGTGGACATTAAATAAGAAGGAAGAGGATACTCTGGAAAGATGGGAAAGGAAAATATTGAGACGCATATTCAGAAGACGGAAGACAGAAGATGGTTGGGAGAGAAGAACCAACAATTAATTAATGGCTTTATACAAAGAACCTACCATTACCAAGTTCGTCAAGGCACGAAGAATCAGATAGTTGGGACATGTGGAAAGAATAGCAGCAAACAGAATGCCTAAACTAGTAATAACCAGAAAATTAATCGTCCCCAAAAAAAGAGGTAGACCCAGAACGCGGTGGATTAGTAAAGCGGAGGAAGACCTTAAACAC